GTTCATAAATGGCACTGGAAACATTTTCCCTTGGAAATAAGGATGGGTTTGCAAAAGAGGTCCTAATAGCCAACCCTAACAGAATTTGACTGCAGAGCCCCACTTTCACCCACCATGCCAGTCTGCTCCAAACCTTTGGAGCTACCCCAAGTTGAAACTGGAAAGCAGAGTAACGATTGGTTAGCAGTGTTGCTTTGAGGTAGAATGACTGAGTTCAAGTCTACTTTGTTGCTGTGTGATCCTGCATGTACATTATTTAAAATAAATTTTATTTTCTTCTAACTCTAAAATAGGGGCAGTACCTGTGTCACGTAATTTTAAAGGTTACATGAGATGCTGCTGTGCACAGTGTCCACATAAGAAACTACTTGTTAAGTTATAGAGTCATAGATACTAAACATGGACAAACAGAAAACCCGTTTCTGTAGTTCTACTTGAAAAACTATCTTTCTGCAGTCCTCTTCTCAGTTCTAGAGACAAGAGCTACTCAGAGAAAGATGCTCCCTTGCTCAGCATCCCAGCCCATCCTCCTCATCCTGCGGGCCAGACTGAGCCCTTCCCTTGCTTTAGTGTCTTTCTCAATAATCCCCTTTCAGAAAGCACTCCTTGACTAGCTACAGACACATTTGATATCTAGTCCCCTCCTCGCTAAAATACTCAGTGGCTTACTGATGGTCTGTGTTTGCTGCTTTGTTGTTTTCCAAATCCTGCACTGCTCTCAGTTCACATAGTTTTAATCTTAGAGGCCATTCCCGTTTCATTCCCAGTCCTCTCTGTCACACCTTGCCCATGCTATGAGGGGCCAAGTGCTGCCTTGTAACTGACCTGGGCACCTGCCCAGCATAGAGCATGAGAAACCATTCTAGGAAGAGATCACTGCCATGGTAAAGATAGATTTACTTTCAGGAAAAGAAAAAGGCCACCCAGAGGAGATTTCACTAATAACCACAGATTAAAGTGGGAGACTCACATGCAGGCACCTGGACATAATACTGGTCTACCCACACAGAAGGAAAAACTTCTTCTGGAAAATAAAACACATATCTATGAGTATGACCTCTATGCCAGCTATGTGCATGAGCCTCAAGTGCAGGTGCAAAGACCGAGGGCTGAGTCTGCGGGGCTCCCAAGTGGACCCTGAGAGTCTTCCTCTCTAGGCAGAAGACAAGTGACAGGATTCCCCTCCAAGAGAAAAGAATGGGCTCCAACTTTGGCACAGAATGGGGGCACTGCAGAGAGGTGGGCAAAAAAATATACACTGCCAATAAGCAACTGGAATCTCTCAAAGGGAATTCCCCAGGGGAGCTCCTCTGGAAGCTTCAGCCTCATTAAGCATTTCAACAGGGAACTGAAAAGAGGACTAACCAATGGACTGCAGAGAAAATAACAAACTATATGTACATTAACGAGGAGAAAAAGAAAATAACTGGACTCCAAAGAGATCAGGCAGACAGGCCTGTCAGAGGAAAGGAGGTTCTGAAAATGACCACAGGGCCAATTTGAAGGTAGAGGGGAAGGAGGCGTAATGTACATGTGCCTAGGTGCGTGTGTGGACCCTCACAACACAGCCCACTAACGGGGTATCGGCTCCGGGGCAAGAACCTGAAGAAACGTAAGGCCACGTGAAATCTGGACAGGTGTCGCTGTGAGCTGAAAGTGCACAGCATGAGACCGACAGATGAGTCATGAGTGCCCACAGAGCTCTAAATAGCCAGCTGATAATATCCGAGCCCACTGTGGATTGAGCAGACAGGAGGAACTTCAGATCGTATACTTGAATTAAGAGGAAAGATAGAAGTTGGTTCCAATTAAAAGCCAAGAGTGCAGATTCCAAACTGCAATACACACTCGACAGGTGCGTGGCATACATTATTTTAAGGTGGGATGTGGTGAACGTTTTTTTATCTTAATGGTTACATAGCTTTAATATATATGAGAGCATAATACGGTAAGACCATCAAATTCAGGTTTTTAGAAGTTTTGTGTCAGGATGAGGACAGGTAAAGAAGTGAGTTGCGTTAAGATCAACTTAAAGAAGTGTATTACACACATAGTGCATGAGCTATATGACTGTGCCCTAAACTGTGGATGAAAGTTAAGGCGCATGATTGAAGTCAGGGAAGCCCCAAGCTAGGTGTGTAAGAAAGACTCAAACTGAAGAATGTCATTAAATGAACTTTTTCCCACAAATTACCTACTTAATCATTATCTGTACTTCACCTCCAAAAAGTAAACTCAGGACAGTGCTTTGAGAAACTTCTGCCTTTGCCCACAGACCAAATGGAGGAGTACAGTGTGTGAAAACTTCACAGTCACTGTCACCTGCTCTTCTAACACGATGGGTGGCTGGGTGACAACCTGGGAGAAGACAGTCCCAGCAGAACCTTCCAGATCCTGGCCAGTCTTCCTCACAGCAGCATCCATTCTCCCACCCCTGCTGTGGTGCTTTCCATGCCAGCTTGGAGAGTATGCTAGTTTCCAAGAAAAAAAGGGATTTCTAAAACAACTAATAGACACACACACACACACACACACACACAAACTTTTCAATTAAATACACACACACACATAGACTTTTCAATAAAATGTTGATTATCTGAGAAAGGAGGGAAGTGAGGTCCCCTACACATATCTGAGCATATCCACATGCTCCATTCCTGTTCCAGAGTGTTCCTGACAGTTAAGAGGAAAGCTCTTGTGTTTACTATCTTCCCAGTTTGCATCTGCCATCTGTGGACAGGGACACACAGCTTGTTCTGCAGCTTAGGCTGGTCTGCTTTCACACACCTTTGACTTTTACCCTCTGCCTCATGTGATAACATAGTCCCGGGCAAAGGTCTAGTTGATTTTCTCCTGATCTCTTTGTTCTCAGGAGCTCCCAGAGTACGCTTTAAGGCCTATTCTAAAGCTGCTTCTGCCTCAGTCTAACCACAAACCCAGCGCTATTTTAACCTTAGGGATTTACCAGTACCATTGGGCCACCCCTGATCATGCTGTACACCGGTTAGTACAGCATGATCAGGTGACCACAGCTCTCCTGAAAACCTGAGATGCACATTATCCCACAGCAGTGCCTTATTCATTCAGCAGGTGTAAGTGAGGCCAGTCCTGTTCCAAGTGTTCCCTGGTACACTTGGAGGTAACCCAGTCATATGCAGACCACAGTGAAAATGACCCCAGCCAGATATCTGAGGGAAACAGGTTATTGTTAGGAGGAAAGCCAATACTTTCCTGAATGGAGTCTGTGCCCTGAAATTGTATATATCTGTTGACTGTGAAATTCTTCTAGAAATTTATCTTGAAGAAATGATTATGAATAGGCACAAATTTAGCCACAAAGATGCTAGCAGTAGCTTTACTTATAAAAGCAAAATATTTGAAACAACCTAAATGGTATTAAATATACCAAGGTACTGCTGTATTATGGGACTCTATGATATCGTTAAGTATATAGAGATATTTTAGGGACAGGAAGATTTGTTTTCAGGAATTTTTATAAGAAAGGCCATGACTTTAGAAATACAGGGGATTAAAAAGATCATCTTTTTGTGACAAAGAAAGAAAAGGATGCCAAGCAGATATGGAACCTCTCCTTTTCAAGGCATAGTAGGTTACTATCCTGCCCTGTGCCTGTACTGTTGTACAAGGAGATACGTAATAATGACAGCAACGACGATGATGATGACCCCACCACCCAGAATTTACCGAGCATCTACTCTGCATTTGGCACCATCTAAAGTGCTTTATTCCTCACAACAGCCCTAGAAAGTGGAAAGCATCATTCCTGTTTTCCAGAAGAGGAGGTTGGGACCCTGAGGTGTTAGCTAATTCTCAAGTCACACATAGCTGGTGAGCCACAGAGGTAGAATTCATACCCTGACAACCTGGTGCAGGAGTGCTTTAACCATTACATTCTATGACCTCCCTTGATGTGTGTGGACTTACTATCTTGCATTCACCTGTCTACTTCCCTTACTCAGTTTTGAGCTCCTCAAAGCCAAAGTCCAACGTTTTCATTCCCAGTAACCAGCAAGAGTCATGTAAACATTGGCTGCGTGAATGAGTCAGTTTTGGTATCTGCATGTGATTAGACAATAACTAAGAGTGGGGGTAGCAGCTCTCAGTTCTTGGCCCTTGCCACATTCCAGGCCTTGCACCCAATGTGAAATGCATCATGTCATTTAATCCTTACAACTTCCCTATGAGGTGGGCACTAATATGCCTGTTTGGCAGATAAGCAAACTGAGGCTGAGAGAGGTGAAAGGCTTGCCCATGTGGTGGCGCTGGCATGAGAACGCATGCTAGACTGACCACTGGCACAGCTTGAGGCCTCAACTCCTACGCTACACTACACAGCTCTCTTATTAAGATAGCTGAAATAAGACTATGTATTTTAGGGCCCAATACCCGATCACTGCAGATAACTCAGAAAATCTGAGATGAAAAACAGATGTGATATAATTGAGGCGATAAACACTCTGCTATTTGGAACAAGGAGGGTTCTGTTCCCTAATTAATTCATTAATTAACTTCAAATATTTTTAGGTGTCTACTCCATGCCAGCACAGTGAGAGGTGGAGTGAAATGTGGAACAGAACAAGGTCCCGCCCTCAAGTCTCAGTCCAGTGGGGCATGTGCCTCACATTCATATGCATGTCATTACAACCGAGAAAGGAGAGGACACTGGTTCCATGGGAGTTGCTAACAAAGGAGGGCTGAAGAAGGATGCCCGCCCTTGCCTCTTGTGTGGCAGGAGGAATAGGCTCAGCTGTTGGCCCAGGAGATCTGGAAAGAGAATCCCCAGCTCAGCCCTGGCCTTTCATTGTCAGCAACATCCTGTCCTCTCAGGGTAACTTGGCAAAGGCACCTGGGAGGGCACAATGAGACAGTCTTCAAGGACACAAAAGGCCTGCGGCACACAGAGAGGTCCACCCTGTGCAGCGGCAGGTGGCACAGGATGTTCCTGACCGCCACGCTGGCCCCGAGCAGCTGGGACTCACGTTTCTCTGTTGACTGCACAGTGTGGAAGAGCGTCAGGGGCCTCTCGCTGCAGGACGGGGGCTTGGAGTCACTGCTCTTCTTCCGGGACAGGTGTAGCTGCACATTGGTGAGGGGCATATCAGGCACAGTGTTAAATATCTGCAAACAAAGCACCACAACCAGGTTACACACATCTGCGCATCAGGAGGAAAGTGCAGGCCTGAACCCACACAACAGAAAGTTTGGCAGTGTCTTGGAATCAGCAAGGAAAGATCTGAGGAGACCACTGGCATTTGTGCAAGACTTCATTTAAACATTTCTAGGAACTGGCACTAAACATTCTCCTCAGAAGCTTATCCAAGAGTCTGCTACCCACTCCCTTCCCTTCCTAACCTCTTCTGCTCTGATTTCCCTGGTCTTTTCATTGTTCCCATGAAGGGAAATGGAGCTGCTGTGCTCAGTATAGACACTGTCAATAGTACTGAGAGTCTTTTGACCACCTTTGTCCAAAACACAATGTCTTTCTTCATCGGTTCTAGTTCTTAACAACTCCTTCACAAAACGTGAACTGTGTATTTAAGTAATATTCCAAAACCGACCCCCAGGCAGGGCACCACCTCCCAATTCCCTTCAATTGTCCTCAGCTGCAGCTTTCTTTGCAGTTGAGAGGCTTGTGTTATCTGTGACTCTGAGCTTTCTTTTTCTTGTTTAAAAGTGTTTTTTTTTCTCCCTTGAGGATAAAATTCACATATATATGTACTATGGATAATTTGGAAAATACAGAGATGTCTAAAGAAGAAAAAATAACAACAAAAAAAAAACTCTCCCAATTCTACTCTGTAGCAATCACCACTGTTAGTATTTAGGTTTTATTTGCTGATGAGCTATTTTTTTGGAGGGAAGATCTTTTATTATTATTATTTTTTAAAGTCTATGATTAAAAATGAGAAGAAAATCATAGACAAAAATCATGACAACTCTCATCATCTTTTCTATAGATAAAAGTATGGCAGACACTCATAATAGCAAACACATGGTGCTTACCTTGCTGACACAGCCCCATTACCACGGGCTCCCTAAGAAATAGCCACCACACTGTGCTCGATATAGGGCTCACTCCGGTCTTAACAACCCTGAACAACACACAATGTCCTCAACATTTCCGAAGGACGAACTGAGGCACAGTTGCCATGATTATAGATACTATTTCAGATAAGAAGACAGGTTTTCTTCCAAATTCCTTTTTAAATGCATACAATAACAATGACATTTACTCATCCAATCAACAAACACTTTTTGAGCATCTATTTTATACTAGGCCCTCTGGGTATAACAATGAAGACAGCAATCGCATTCACTGCAATTAGAGAGTTCTACAGTCCAGTAGCCATGATTTACTGAGTCTTGACACACCAGGTACTTGATTAAATGCTTTACAAGAATTACCTCATTTAATGTTAAAACACACTTTCCCATAACTGAAATTAAATTCTTTATGTGGTTTTGTTCATATACATTTCATCTAATGCTATATTGCAGCATATCTTCATTCATTAAAAAAAACTCCGTGTTTCTTAGTGGCTGCAACCCTCCCCCCCCCCACTATATAGAGAGGAAATCAAAATTTATGAAGCCATTCATGATCCTCTCTTACTCTAAGAAGTTGGTCTCCTTCTAAATTTTCTCTTTCCTAACAGTCTCTGATATGTCTAAGGTACCATTCACCTATGGGTGGCCCTAGACACATCAGAATCTTTCTCATGGTCTTCTCTACTGTGGGTGTGCATTTAAAAGCAGAACTCAAAGCTGATATTTAGGAAGAAAAGTCAAAGAATCCTAAAAATTTCAGCCCAAACAGCTGCTCTCCATGGGTTGGCAGGTCCTTGGGCTCCAATGATGCCAGCCAGCTGGTTAAGTCAGTCTAGCTCTTAAACACAGCTGTCTGAAAACAGTATTATCATATTTTCCCTAAGGGACTGAAAATTTTCAACAAGATAAACTGAATCACTACACATAGCTGAGTTCAAATGGGGCAAGGGGGTAAGAAGAGAAGGAGACTTAAAGTAAAAACAACAAAAACCTCCTGCTTGGGAGCAGTTAGAACCTATGAAAACAAATTTTCGAGGGCTACACACATCTCTAGTCTCTTTCTGAGTCTCTATAAAAGAAAGAGAAGGGTTAGGATTGTTGTGGAGCTCAAGGACTGCAACCTCTAAGAAGCTTTCTCCCCCCTTTACTTGGGCGTTCCTAGGTGACAATCACACTGGGTACTATTGTCACGGACACTGAAAAAGCGGCTCCTAGCTATGAATGTTTGCAAGCAGACCAGGCACTGTGCTAGGTGCTTTCCATGACTCATCACTAAACTGGGGTCAAATCTAGCATAGCAAGTTGGATGACCACCTCACAATGAGAGATCTCCTGCCCTGCCACACAGCTTAGCAGGAGAGGGCCTAGGAGGAGGGAAGTCCCAGGCTGTAGCAGTTATTCATTCAGCTTGTCTTCTCCAGCCAATCTTCACTACAAAAGCCAGTGCCCCAAACCACAAGGATGGATTTGAACAAATAATGGTGTCTCCTAGCACCTTCTGCCTTTGGCCTTAAAGACAGCACCTTCAGCAATCCCTAGCTCAGAACATTTGACAAAAATTCAGAGTTGGTGATGGGCCTGCTTCTCATATTCTTCTTTATCCCCTTTACCTCTGCCTCCAAATTTTGCCTCTTTTTCTAATGAGTTACTGAGAATGAGGTCCTTACCCAACTCCAATGGGAGCAAAGATAATGTATATACTTCAATTTTAACTGTCAACAAAAATGAGAGCATTACTCTTTCCTAAGAACTGTCATAAATGCTAGAAAAGCAAAGAAGAGTCATGTATTAGGAAGGGCCATGGATTTAGACAGATGCATGAAAAATTGACTCCAAAACAATATATACAACAGAGCAGGAAGAGACATGGGAACACAGACAGGAGGATGTTACTCTGCTCCTCAGCTGTTTCCTCTAAAAGAAAAGTTATTCAAGCATAATATCAGATCTAGGAAGAAACTTTTGCCATGGGCAAGGGGGACAGTCCCAAAGGCTAGTTCTCTGGGTCCCACTGTGAGGTGGGTCCAGGCTTCTGAAGAACTCTGATAGGGCTGCTCCCAGGATCAACGTAGTAACATGCAAGTGATCACATTGCAAATGTCAAGTGCCAGATGTGGGTTCTCATCATGACCATGATGCATGCTTCTCCAAGGCGCAAGAGGGTCTTTCATTAAGAACTCTGGGAAATCATTTTCCAAGTTACTGTTGTTTATTTAACACTGAATCTTGAACACAGTCAAGCTATTTAAAGGCTACTGATTGCCTGTCCTCCTTCCAGTCAGCCAAGAGGTTGCCTCAGTGCTAAAGGCCCAAGTTGGAATTCTGACGAGAATCTGAATTATTCAGTTTTGTTGGTTATTCCAATCCTGTTTCATTTGGTTGGAAGAGAAGATTTCAAGAGAATCAAATGAAGTTTTTTCAGTCTGTCAAGAAGAATCACTGTCCCAATGACCCTGCTGAACACAGGAGGCATGCGCTCATCTAGCCTACGAGTCATGGATTTACGGAGCTCTGCCATGTGGCTGGAGCAATCTACTCATTTCACAGAGACTTTCCAAATTAACACAAAAAGGGGAGATTTATTCTGTGCCCCAAATGCCATGTTAATACTGTCCAAAGTTACAAACTAATTCTGACTTAGGAATGTCTCAGAGATAAAAGTTAGAAAGACTGTAAGCCTTCTGGAAGCTACTGGGGAATAAAATTGTAAAATAAAAATGTAACTCTAGGTAACCTTTCCAAGTATCCCCAATTTCAAGCTTTCTATAAGTGGTATTAGCAGGCCCATAAATACCAAGCTATTGTTTCCCCTTAAGCAGTGAGGAACAGTGGTCAAGGGCAGTTTGGCCTCTGCAGTCAGACAGACACAGGCTGAGTTCTGGTTATACCATTACTGACATTGACGTCGCCACCATAACACCTTGTCAAATATAGAAAAAGAACTTAAGGTCATCATATGGGTACAAAGCAAACAGGCTTTGGAGACATGGATTCAATTTCTGGCTTTGCCACCTACTGGCTATGTGAAGATGTGTCAGATGTGGATTCAAATCCTGACTTTGTTAGCTACTAGTTATGGGATCTCAGGCAAGATAATTAACCTCTTTGTTTCCTGTGTGTAAATGGGAATCTAATACCTGCCTTGCAGAAAACATAATGCCCACTGAAAAGATAATGCACACAAAATGCTTACTGTGGTATCTAGCAAAAAGCAGGCAGGAGATGGTGGTGGTATAAACGATAATAAAAATAACCAGAATTCATTACCAGTTGAGTTACTTACATAGATTATTTCACTCATAATAACCCTATACAGGGGGTACTATTATTCTTGCCATCTTGAAGATGAGGAAACTAAGACTCACTGAGAGTTACTGATTTGTCCGAGATCACATAGATAAGGAATGCAACTGGAATACAACTGGACAGCTTGACTGTCTAGGTCTTAATCACTTGTGGTCTTTATACCTATTATTAATTTGAGAGACAGAGAACAAAATGGGAAGATCACAAGTCTTAGAGTCTGGCAGATCTGATTTTAGTCACTTACTAGCTCTGTGACCTTGAACAAATCATATAACTCTTTGACCTTCAGAGAGCTCATCTGCAAAAAGTCCCAGGACCATGATGAGGACTGAAGTGCCTAACACAATTTGGCATTCAGCGATCAAAAGACATTACTGTATTCAATAAAAAAGGAGACATACTCAGATAAGAAAGGAAATAACTGGAGATTCCACAATGAATTATTTGCAGTCGGGACACAAGGATTTAATTTATAAGCGTAAATTTAATTACTGTTCTTTGCAAAACATTGATCTTAACTGCTTACAGCAATGATAGAATCTGCTGTTCTTACTCCCTTGCACTGTCTATAAAATTTAAATTTTCCTGGCCCTCCTCTGGCTCATCTGAACATTGTAGAGCACTGACACTTGTGGAATTTGTTCTTAGCCATGTCACATACACATTTTTACACCTTTTTCAATCCCATCTGTCACATATGCCTGTAATTTAAAAGGATTAGGAGTCTCCCTGTGATGTGTGTGGCATACTCTTTATTATGTGCT